GGAGCTTTTTACACCATCTCTTTCCACAGATGTAGTCAGTTTGATTTCTGTGTATTCCGTCTGGTGAGGTCCATGTGTATAATTGTCTTTTATGTTTAAAAAAGGTATTTGTAATGAATAAGTCATTGGTGTTGCAAAATTTTATCATAAAATCTCTAGCATTGTGTCTTATCACCAAGGCCATATTTTCCAACTGTTTATAACCTTCACATTCCAATCACACGTAATTATCACTACATCTTGAGTGCATGTTTGATCAATTTCAGACTGACTAAGTTGGTAGAATTATTCAATTTCATTATCACTAGCTTTAGTGGTTGGTACATAAATTTAAATAATAGTGGTTTTAACTGGTCTTCCTTGTAAGGGTACAGACATTATCCTATCACAGAGAACAGTATACTTTATGATAGATCTTGAAATGTTCTTTTGATAATGAATGCAATGCCATTCCTCTTCAGTTTGTTATTCTCAGCATAGTAAACTACAGGATTGCCAGACTACAGATAGCCATATTAAATAATTCACTGTCCCACACTTTCCAGGTGTTGTTAAGTGCCATTGGGTCAGTTCTGACTCATAGCAACCTTGTATAGGGTTTCCGAGGAGCAACTGGTGAGTTTGAACCTCTGACCTTGTGCTTAAAACCGACCTTTCAGTCCATTGCATTAACATACAGTGCCACACCAGGACTCCTCACACTTCACATGCCTACTGAACTAATTTTACAAAGTCTTCATTTTTAAAAAATTGTACATTAAATATTTTTTAAATCATTAATTACTTAAATTGTATTATTTTAAAAATATCTAAAATTTAATTTTAAATGTCATCAGATATGTTTTATTCTCCATCATAACTTTTCTGGAGTTGTCAGAAAATAGCACTATAATAGTAAACCCAAACACATACCTTCCTTTATGATTTGTTCTTAATTGGATACGTATTGTCTATGATTTGCTAATCACTAATCACTTAGTAAAGGAGCTCTGGTAGCGTAGTGGTTACGAATCAGGCTGCGATCCGCAAGGTCAGCAGTTCGAAACTACCAGCGGTTCTGCGGGAGAAAGATGAGGATGTCTGCTCCCGTAAAGATTTACAGCCTTGGAAACCTTGTGTAGGGTCTCTATGAGTTGGAACCAACTCCACGGCACATCACAACAACAACAATAATCACTTAGTAAGGGAGCATCTAAATGTCATGTCGTTGAGCATGTCCTTTATTTCCTTCAGACATTGAATTCTTAGATTTTTGTTTTTCTTTAACATAGAACTACAGTCTGTGTCAGACTATATGGATCTGTCAGATTCTGTCTTTGTAATCATTGGAAAACTAAGGTATTATAGTTGATTTATCAGACTGAGTTGATAATTTCATTATATTTCATCAATCACAACTTATATTCTGTTTATATCAGTGACAAGAAAACCTAATTCAGTATCTGTTCATAACTTTGCAAGTCTTAGATCTGGGGCTGTAGGATAAGTACTGACTGCTAACTACAAGGTCAGTGGTTCAAAATCTCCAGGCACTCCTCAGAAACTCTATACAGTGTTGCCAGGTGTCAGAACTGACTCAGTACCTCTAAACAACATCAACATGTATTGTATTAGCTGTTTCAGGTGGGTAGAGGTACCTGTTGCTACTTTTCTTTCCTGTGAAAGATTAAATATAGAGGGGCTTTGGGGGGCTAGAGTAGACCTACATCTTTTATTGAACTGCAGAAGAGAATCTGGAAGTAACACATCATCACCTCCACACCCAGCACACATACTTACACATTAGAATATAAGGACCTCAAATAAGTAATGTTTGTCTTTTTGTTCACAATCTTTTTCTCGATAATGATCGTCATATACTGTAATGCTCAGTCATTATGTATTGTATAAAGGGACCTTCCACTTGTACCTTGATTTGGACTAATAAATGGGTCTGGTACATCGCAGACACACAGTAAATTAGAGAACGAAGGAATTAACTCGCCTAATTTACTTTTGAGAAGTAACTTATTAAACTTAATTTTCAACTAAAAGGAAAAATTCTATAATTCCTCACTTGTTGCCAAAAATGTCATGTTGCCTACCTTTATATTGATTTTCCTCTGTAAGACAGCATTTAGGATTTGAATTTTTGTTAAAAATATAAATATTATTATTCCTCATATGTTTTATTTTGCATGTTGATTTTCAGTACTTGTAGCAGAGAGAAATCTTTAAAAGCATGCAAATTTTAAAAATTGTATAAATAGAATATCTTGCCAAGTAGATAGAAAATAATAGCAGGAAGTCTGATAGAGCCTGCTGTTAAGAGCACATTAAATTATCTTAATGCTAAGCATTTTGGGAATTACTTGGATTTATTTTCTTTGTTACATTTAACATTTTGTTAAATTTCATTGATAAGATCCACCTGTTGAAGTATAAGAAAAGAATATCAGTTAAATGTCGTGGGAATTTTGTGGCGCTGTTGGAGAAGCACTAGACTGACAACCACAAGGTTGGTGGTTCAAACCCATCAGTCACTCCTTGGAAACCCTACACAAAGTCACTGTGAGTCAGAACCAACTTGACAGCACTTAACAACAACACCTTGGCATCTATATCAGATTCATCCCTTGCCTTGTAGTTGGATGACCAAACTGACAATTGAACTAAACAACAAACTACTAAACAACTTGCTGTGGGTTCTGGTAAAATCTGGCCATTGTGAGAAAAGAAAGTTGGACAAAATAAACTTTTTTTAAAGGCTCATTAAGAAAACTATTCTATAATCTCTCGTTTACTTAAGAAGATCTCACGGATATATATGTTAGAAATGGATCTTTCAACAGTAACTAAAAAATATAGTGTTCTTGCATTCAGAGAGAAAAGAACATTTAATGGTAGAACACTATCAGCAATAATATTTTGTGTTGTTTTTATTGGTGGTGGTGGCATTGTTTTTCTCTATAAATCTTCTAAATTTGAAGAGATTGAAGTTTATATGACGTTCAAACACTTTATTTTTGTTAATAATGACAAAAATCAGGCATTCTTGCATGAAATTTGTCTGGACTCCAAGGTGAATTCTTACTGCTTGATCTTAGTAACTTTCTTACGCATTGAATTAAACATTAAAGAATCCCTAGTCAATGTTCGATTGATTGTGAGGTACATTTGAAACAGATTCTATTTTATTATTATCTTTTGCAGAACTTTTAAGACCCATATAGATAACAATATTCATGGGATTGAAATGGGAAACATTCTAAATAAAATTCCATTTTCTACCTGTTCCTATGCTTTTTGTGGCCTGTACACTCAATTTTATCATAGTTAGTGTCTGAACCTAGGAAATAAGAAAACTGAAAACTCTTTCTATGCCTTCTAAAAAAGCAGGGATATGACAGAATAGCAGTCACATAAATTCCAAGGCTTGATGGAGAGAACAAATCACATAAAAACTTGGCAGTTCTTAACTCATTTCAGATTAATGTGGACTTCAGAGTCATCTTCAAGATTGAAAATTTATTAGTATTCCCTCTCTCCATAAGGATCCCTGGTGTTTCTGAGGTTGAAAAGTGCTGGACTACTAACTGCAAAGTTGGTAGTTCAAATCCACCAGCCACTACTTGAGAGAAAGATGAGGCTTTCTGCTTCCATAAAGTTTTACAGTCTCAAAAACCCTATATAGGGTTGCTATTACTCAGAGCACCTTTTAGAGGAATGATTTAAATACTAACTGTGACACTGTGGGTTAATGTGCTAGACTGCAGAATCGGTTTGAACCACAAGGTCAGTGGTTCACATGCTGCTCCTTAGAAGCCCTACACAGGGTCAATTTGGGTCAGAATTGACTCAACAGCATTTAACAACTACAACATAATAAAGAAGTCCTGTAGATAAGCACTGGACTACTAACTGCAAGTTTAATGGTTCAAAGCTGCCAGCTGCTCCTAGGAAACCCAGTAGAGGTTGATGTGAATCAGAACCGTCTTGACATCACTTAACAACAACAGCAAAACATTAAAGTTGATTTTTCCCTTCCTCAGAACAGTGAGTCATTGATTACTGGCATGTAGAATACCCAAATGGGGATGACAGTCAAAAGAATCTTAATTACACTCTGTTTATCTCTTCTACTCGTCTGCTTACAAGTTACCTTTAACAATTGTCTTCATAAAAATTTAATTTTAACACTAACCTAAAATCTCCAAGACAGTGAATATTAAAAGAAAGAGTATTTTTGGGTTATCCAGCTCATAATGCTTTCATGAAAGGTATGAGATACTTGAGACAAGAGCTGGTATCAGAAGCAATAGCATGTGTGATGAGTCTTATTCAGCTCTTTAGTTAATTTTTATTAAGTTATTTTGCATGAATCAATTTAAGCATGCTTTGCCTTTGGTGTGATTTGTCTAATATTTATCTTATCCTTTTTTTCCCCAAAGCATTTCTACAATTTCATGATGTCTTACTAATTTTATATAATGTGGAGCATACCCCTCTTTTTCTCATTCTTGACAGTTACCCAGTTATGTACCCCCGACAGTATTATCATTGTTACCAACCTGGGGTGGTTTTACACCTCAGGTGTCTGGAAACTGTTTTGATTAACATGACTAGGAAGCACATACATACATTCCAGGGATACTACAAAACATTTTAAAGCACACAGGATAGCCCCTCAGAGCTAAGATTTGTCTCACCCAAAATGTTAACAATGCTGATATTGAAAAAGGTCTAATGTATATAATTTAATTCTTTAATATGTGGGGGGATAAAAGCTATAAATTCAGCGTTCATATTTATACTGTTGTGACAATATCCACTGATTTATTATACAAAAGATTTATAGAAGACCAACATTATAGAAAGAGTTGTTTCTTAAAGACTAAATAGGTTATATTAAGTTAATCAGTTTGTCTCTGCACTTCACAGGTTACAGAAATGGTTTCACTTCTAGCCATTGAGTTCTTGTAATTCTTTGTTTTTGTTGTTTGCTTTTTTTTTTTTGTAAGCACTTAAATACACATCCAATCGTACGAATGAGAAAACCATCCTCATGTTTGTTGCTGGACTACTGCTCACCATAGTCGTTATTATTGGAGCCATTATTTTCATCCCAGGTAAGATGTACATTTACTTTAAGGGAGGATGGGATTGATGGAGATGGAGGAATTCCAAAGGAAGTTGAGCTTCCTGTAACAAATTACTACAGATTGAGTAGTTTAAAACAACAGAAATTATTTCAGAGTTCTAGAAGCCAGATGTCTGAAATCAGTATGCTGGCAGGACTCATTCCCTCCAAGGCTCTCTGGGAGAGTTCATTCCTTTCCTTTCTAGCTTCTGGTGGCTACACGTGTTCCTTGGCTTGTGGCTATGACACTCCATGGTCACATTGCCTTTTCTTTTCTGTGCAATCCCTCTGTGTGTGTCTGATCTCCCTCTGCTTCTCTTTTATAAAAACACTTGTCATTGGTCTTAGGATCCTCCCAAATAATACTGGATAAGCATTTTCTTTTAAGATTCTTAAACAACACTTTTGTAATGTAAGGTACTATTCATAGGGTCTGGGAATTATATTTTGGGGTCACCATTCATCCCACTATAGTCTGCCCTCTGGCCTCCAAAGATTCATGTTTGTCCCATGTGCAAAATACATACACATAACATATCCTACCATCTCCAGAATTCTCAATCAATGTTAGTATCATCTCAAGTCCAAAATACCATTTAAATATCATTAGCTAAAAGTCTTAAATTTTATAATCTTAATCAATTATGTAGGACAAAATTCCCTTTTACTTATGATCTTATGGAACTACAAAGCAAATGATCTGCTTCCAAAATACAATGGAGAACCAGGCATAGGATAATAGTTACATCCATTCTGTCCCAAAAGTGGGAATATGGAAGAAATAAAGGAATCTTTAGTCCCAAGCAAGTTCAGAATCCAGAAGAGCAAATTCTGTTATGTTTCAAAGTCTGTGAATAATCAATAATCCTACATAACTCGAAGCTTTACTCTCTAGCCCCAATGTTCTTCCCTTAGAGATAGTCTTCCTTTTTCATGAAGAGTGACACATGCTTGCTGATAAGTACTTTTATTGGCCTGTTTCTTCTTGTTGAGTTTTGGAAGTCTGATGGTTTCTCATTGGTTGTGCCCTTTCTCAGTCTCATCAGTCCAAAGTGCTGGTATTTCTGTTGCTAAAACCTTCTGAAAAGCATTATGAATCTCCCTATGCATATCACAGGGACTGGCACTGTTATACAAGAGAAGCCTCACAGATCTTTACTGGAAAATCCCATCTCTATTCTTGACTTCTGCTGAGATGGTTGAGTAGATCCGTGAGTCACATGCCTAATTTCTTCTGCAAAAAGGTTGACCTTCTCTCTGGAACATGGTTTGCTAATAATGAATCTTAATAATTTTACTACCCTTTGGAGTCTATATAGGCTGAGAATTTTTCAAATCATTAAGTGCTGTTTCCTTTTTGTATAACAATTCCTTCCTCAATTTCTCTTTTTCCTGTCATGTTTTAATATAAGGAGCAAGAAAAACATAGTCACACCTTCAACACTTTGCTTTTGGAAATCTTCCCAGCTTAAATATCTGTTATTAACTTAAAAAGCTGTGCTTTTTCCATCCAACTAGATGACACAATTCAGCCAAAATTTCTGCTAGTATATAACAAAGATCTCCCTTCTGTTGGTTTCCAATAACATGTTCTCATTTCCTTCTAAGCCTTTACCATAAATGGGTTTAGCTTAATCCATATTCCTGTCGTCAGTTCAATGCAATATAGACTTTTTCTATTATATGCATCAGAATTCTACCACCTTTACTCATTATCCAGTCCAAAGTGTCAGCTATATTTTTAGGTATTGTTAAAATAGCACTCCACTTCCTGGTATCAAAATCTGTATTATTTTCCTGGGGATGTCATGGTGGTGGTGTGCTGTGGAGTTGTTTCTGACTCATAGCAACCCTGTACAGGGTTTCTGAGGCTATAAATCTTTATAAGAGCAGAAAGCCTCATCTTTCTCCCATGGGACACCTGGGAGTTTCGAACTCCTGACCTTGAGATTAGCAGCCCAATTTGTAACCACTACGCTACCAAAGCTCCTTGGAGATGTCATAAACTACCACAAACTGGATGACTTAACACTGAGAAATTTTCTCATAGTTCTGGAGAACAGAAGTCTGTAGTCAATTAAGCAGGTCCAGATTCCTCCATATTCTTTCTTGAGGCCTTTCATTTGTTATTTTATGATGACGTTACTCTACTCTTCCTCTATAGTCAGTCATAATGCTTCCTCCTCAATATATTCTCTTCTGTATCTGGTCAGATTTCCTTTTGTCTGCATTTTATAAGAACGCTTGTCTTTGGAGTTAGAGCCCACCCAGATCATTCAGGATAGATTCCTCCTATGTTTGCCATATATGAAATTCACTCTTTTGTCATGTAAGTTAATATTCACAACTTTTAGAGATTAGAACTTGTACGTATCTTTGAAGCCACCATTCAACACACTACAAAAGCAGACTTCATTGACCAAGGCGTGAAAGTGAGAATGGACATGGAGAACAAATCTACCTAAAATGATCGTTACATTTGTGAGGTGGGAGTTAGGGTATGCTGCTCACAGAAAGGACAGTTGGTTGACTTTGGGATATACTGACCTATATCACATGAAAGGGATAGTAAACATTGACTCCAGAATTTCTCATCTGAAATTCTGTAAGAGATTAAGGAAAAACTTAGCGCTTACATATAGTTTCACCATGTTGAAACTTAGATGATAAAACTCAGATAATCTTAAGTTTGGTCTTAAATATAAGGTATTTATTTGTTTGACATTTTATGGGTAATTGTATATTTTTGACACTTTTACAGCTTATAAAGAATAGCATTAAGATTAGTCTGTTTAAAATATTAAGTACTTCAGCTTCCCATAAAATAGAATGTGTGCCACCCAGAGAAGCAGTGAGGCCTGAGATGGAGACAGAGAGGATGATGTGAAGAGATGGAGTGCCTGGGGAGTTGAGACCCAGAGAGGGAAAGGGGCTGGGTGCTGAGGACCGTAGGGGGTGGGGAGGGGGGACATGCAAGGTATACCCTTTCATTGGGGGATGATGCATGGACAGGATGGTAACTAAGGCATTGAAACAATGTATGATAGTATGAATGTAAAACTAATGTTTCCCCATGTAAACTATCACTCATTACACAATAAAACAAAACAAAATAGAATGTATGTAGGAAGATATTTACATATTGTTGTTTATTTATTAACAGGTGAATATTCAATAAAGAATGCATCTGGGCTTGGTTTAATTGTAATTCCTACAGTGATATTAATATTACTTCAGTACTGTGCATTTATGACAGGTGAGTGTTTTGTTATGTTATTATTTTACCTACCTTTACATTTAAAAGCAGCCTTTTTTGTTGAAAATATTCTTATATAAACTTTTCTAAAGCTCCATAAAGTAGATTTATTAAAAGACATTCTAAGCTATTCTTATAGACAGTTTCCTCATGTAAATTAATTGTAAGGTTATCTAAGGTTTTCAAGACATTGAATTACTTTGTAAAAAAGTGATCTTTATGTGTATTTTTTATCAGTAAGTAGATATTAAATTATGCTATATAATTTCATAATGATTTTCTATGTATTTTTTCAGTTTTTTGAAGTTTTAAGTAGATATTAAATACATCATTTTTTCTTCTTTTTCTAATCCACTGCATTAAAAAAAAAAAAAAAAGCTCTCCATGGTGGTGGTGGTTATGTGCCATGGAGTCGGTTCTGACTCATAGCGACGCTGCACAGGGTTTCTGAGGCTGTAAATCTTTACGGGAACAGAAAGCCTTATCTTTCTCCCACGGAACCACTGGTAGTTCAAACTGCTGACCCTGAGGCTAGCAGCCCGATTCGTAACCACTACGCTACTAGAGCTCCTTAGCTCTACACAGCAGGGTTATAAATCACAAAATTAGCGGAAAACTTCAGTTATCTTTTAATTCTATTTTTCTATGAACTTTTTGAAACCCCCTTGTAGGATATGTCTTTATAGACTAGAAAACCTTAATATGGTGTTTTAATAAAAATTGGTATGCCTATCCAAACTATAAACCATATCAATTTCACTGCATTTGGGGAATCATTCACCAAGGTGTTTTTTTGTTCTTATTAAGGAGTATTTTTTTCCTATTTACACATTTAACTTTTGGTCTTAGAGCCTATCTCTGGCTTGCTATTCATTGGAAAGCTATTGGTTTGTTAGAAAACTAAAAATCTTCTAGATATACAAAATAGAGAGTATGATGTTTACAGTGACATATTTTCATAATGAGTCTTTTCACCAGAACAATTTTATATACATGTGGAGCTACAAACCAGACTCAGTGCCATGGAGTTGATTCCAACTCAATTGACCATACATAGGATTTCCAAGACTCTAAATCTTTACGGGAGCAAAGAATCTAATCTTTTTTCTGTGGAGTGGCTCGTGGGTTTGCAGTGCAGTGCCTAACCCATGGTGCCACCAGGGCTCCTTTTTTATATATATATATATGGAGAAGCCATGTTTAGTAACTATTTATATTTGGTAAAAGCAACATTGGTTCCAGTAGGACTTGTGATAACTGTAAGACCAGCTTTCCTGACTGAAAGTAAATGCTGCTAAATGAGAATGCATCTAGAGCTGGCGACTTGTGTGGAAGGTTTGGGTCACAGAAAAGGCCTTTATTATCTGACAAGGAACTCCAGGGTCACAGAGTTTTATTTTTAATTGGACAAAGTGCAAGTAGGAATGACTGAATTTTAAATACTCTTAACATGCTTCTATTATTTCTTTTTTTCTTCCCCCAGCTTTTGGGATGACCTACTTTGCCATTGCCATATTGATTATTCAGGTGCTGGGTTATATTCTTGCTGTGGTTGGAATAAGCCTCTGTGTCTCGGGTAAGAGTCATATTCTTCTGTGTGTCCCAATTTGTTTTACTAGGGATTTCTCTTGGACAGAACTTTTCACTCATTCATTTTTTTCCCCCGCTGAGAAAGTGCTATCCACATTGCTACTAGAATGTTGGCTGTACACAGCTTGTGGGATGATTGTTTTTGCAGCCAAACTGCTATGTCTGTATTTAAATAACCAAGCTCTAATTGGAGCCAAAAGCAGGAACCCTATTTTCCACTAGTCTTGATGGGATAATGTACATTTTATGCAAAAAAGGGCTTTTTTCTTTAGAATAATTTGCAATCATTTCACTGACTGAGTTAATAATAAGGAAAATGTGTAGATAATTTTTATTTCTTCATAATTAGAAAAATAATCTTTTAGACATGATATTGTTGTCACTGTCAATTATTTTAATAAATTTGGCTATTTTGTTGTGAAATTCTAATAAAATTTTATTTATTTTTACAGAATGTACCCCAGTACAGGGCCCTCTTCTGATTTCAGGTTTGGGTATCATAGCTCTAGCAGAATTACTTGGACTAGTTTATATGAAATTTGTGGGTAAGTGGATCTTATTTTTTGTTAGCCTATGCCAAGTTCAAATGAGTAACCAGTTGGTTCTTATAGTTTAGGACCAAAGAAATATATTCATGGCTCCATATATGAGAAAATAAATGCTACTGAAATTTTAAATAATTGAACTGGAATGATTTCAGGTAAAGAGGATAGATAGCATATGAAGAAATAAATTGTACATTATAAATTAGTTGGACAGAAAATGTCTTTATGTTTTGTAATGTACCAATTTCATATGCTAACTATAGGGAGAGGTAGTGAAGGATCCATTTTAATTATAGAAAAGTATCTTTAATGAGACCCTTGTTGCTATAATAGAACTCTTTTATAAAGATCTATTTGTTTGTGTCAGTTGCTTTTTTCCTTACAGACATCCCCTAAGTAGACAGGAATTGAAATTCAAAGCCCCTCACTTTTATTAGAGTCCTGGTGTGGTGCTGTGGGCTAATGCGTTAGACTGCAAAGCCATTTGAACTGCAAGGTTGGCAGTTCAAACTCACCAACTTCTCCTCAGAAACCCTACACAGGGTCGCTATGGGTTGGAATCGACTTGAAGGCACCTAACAACAACAACAACACTTTTATTAGTTTAAATAGCAGTGACCTCTGAAATATGACTTGAAAACATTTTTAGTTAAAACCAGTGTAGTAACAGCTTTGGGTTTTAAATTTTAGGCTTTTGGTACTTTTAAAGAAAGTTCTTAGGTGAAATTAGCGTTGTTTATACTAAACTTTGTGTTTCATCTGCCGGTTTTCAAATAGCAGGTTTCTACATATATTCTTATTTTAAACACATATATAAAGATAATGGAGTCCCAGTGTGACACTCTAGGTTAAGCACTTGACTGCAAGGTCAGTTTGAACTGCAGAATTGGTGGTTCAAACTCACCAGCCCCTCCTTGGAAACCCTATAGAGGGTCACTATGAGTCGTAACCAGCTTGATGGCACTTAACAACATACAAAGATAGATGATTTTAATAGTGCCGCAACCTAGTTTGCTGTTGTCCTTACAACCTCATGTCTAGTCTCCCTTTTTTCTGTTTATGAAATAAAGCAAACTCTTAAACTCCTGTCAAAATCGTATAAAAATTCAAATTAGTAGAATAAAAAAGAAATCACTGTTTCTGCAAAGTACTTCCAGAGACATTCTACTTTTATTTCTGAACTTAAATTCTTGGTGTATGATAATTGAGTTTGACTCTGTTATCCCTTTTGCCCTCCTTCTTTTTGTCAATACTTTCTAGATTAATAATTAAAATGCTTCACTACAAGATAGCTACCTTTAGTTTATGTCTTCATAAGCCAGAATTGTTCATCAATGAAATTTTATCTCATGCCATATGAAGTCATAAAGCACAAGGAAGACTTCTGAAGCAGAATGGTATTCATTTTGTAGCTATGTTGAGCATCATGAAAGTTGATGTATATTATACTTTGGTTGAGTCATCGAAACACTGCGTGTCTTATTCTTGACACTGCTGGTTTTGTTGCTCGCCATGAGTGCCCAAGAACAGTACCTGACCTACAGTGTTTGTACAACTGTTATGAAGTAGTATTTGGGGTCTTTGACTGACGGCTTTTTGTTCTTATTTTTTCTCATTATCTGTATCGCCCTTCATTTTCTTCCCATGATATCACATGCCTTCCATGCAGAGCAAAAAATGATTTGTAAGAGATTACTATTAGGCCTGGGGTTGCTGACTCAAGTGGGATTAGATACTTTCTAGCTGCCAATGCCTTGGCCCTCCTCTCCTCCCTTTGTCATCACTTGCATCCCTAAGAAGCCTATGAATCTGGTATAAGTAGAAACATTACTGTTCTCACATTATATTAAAATGGAAGCAAAATGTTTAAGATATTCCTTATTATTTTTATTCTTTAACATAGTTTAACATATAAATGTACCATGTATGAATTAAGAATTCAGTCCAGTTTCATTGACATTTTGAGAATACTCTAAATTAACTTTTCAAATCAACTTATCTAATGCCAGAATTGAGAGGCACACCTACGGTCAGTTGAAGACCAAGAAGAGAAAAGGTACAGGAAAGTTGCTCTTTAGATAATTTGGTAGACTAGGAAAGTATGTTTTTCTTACATAATTTCAGTGTATACATATGAGCACATGTAACATTAAGGTTGCAAATTTGGGCTTTAATGTTAGGAAATAAAAATAGCACATTCCTGAAATAATTTTTACTCATTTTAGATGCTCTGTTTTATAAGAGCCTTATAAATGTGTCTTTAAACTAACTGCAGTAAAATCTTCAATTAAAAATAATAACCAAAAAAGTAACCCTGTCTCTTTAAGACTGAGTTAATGTCCCTGAGAATTTTAACTTCCATAGTATTTTTCTTATTTTCAAGTTTAAATTTGTGGCCTTTATTGTTATTTCAAACAGGATTTTAATGTTTATTTTCTATGATCCTTTTAACTTTTTTTAAACTATAGAATTTTTTTTTCTTTTTATTGGAAGCATTTTAATTTTATAAAATGAGATAAGGGAATGGGAGCGATATATGTGAAAGAATATAAATGATTGAAAGGAACCAACTAAACTCACTAAAATTGGGCTTACTATATGTACGACTCCATTGTTATCAAGTCAATTTTGCTACATATATAGGGTATTTATTATTTGTAAGCGCTAACACTTTCATTTTTTTAAAGCCATTATCAGTTAGTTCAGTACAAAGACATATTATTGTATTTTAATGCAAATCAGCTTAGAAGCAGTAAAAAATCACATTTGCTACAACACTGCAAATATTTTAGAATGCTGTTGTGTGTGTGTGTGTGTGTGTGTGTGTATATATATATGAAGAGTCCTGGTGTGGCACTATGAGATAAAGCACTGGACCACAAGGTCGGTTTGAACCACAAGGTCAGCAGTTCAAACTCACCAGCCGTTCTTTAGAAACACTATACAGGGTTGTCATGAGTTAGAACTGACTCGATTGAAAGCATTTAACAACAACAATAACAAGGAGCTCTGGTAGCACAGTGCGTTATCACTATTATATAGAAATGTTGGA